CCCGCGGCCCCGAGCGTCCTGCGCGCGCCGGGGAGGAGACGGCGCGGCGGGACGTCGCCCGGGAGCACCGGGGTCCGGGCGGCCCGCGGCTGGCAAGCGGGGCACCGAGGTGGTGTTGGCGCAACTCATGCCTCCCGGAGCGTCTCGGTGGCGAGGTCCCAACGCCTGGACCCACCATCCCTTGTTCATCCCCCCGTGGAAGCTTCTGTCGGTGGCTGGGAGGGGGTCGTGTGGTCGCCGCCCCCACTCCGGGCTCCTGTGCCGGTGAAAGCCGGAGGGAAAGGACGCGGCTTGGTGCACCCTGCAGACTCACCTTTGCGGGAAGTCTTCAGCTGGAGTGGAAGCTGGCGCTGCTGGTGGCACCGGCGCTGCCGGCGCTCCGGAAAGGGCAGAGACTGCGCTGTGTGGAGTTGGGGCTCAGCATGTGAAGGCCAGCAGCAGAAGGGGCTCTGAGTGAGAATGGCAGCGCGGAGGGCCTCTGGAAGCCGACTGGAGGAACCCCCTGCCTTACGGCATGACCTGTCATAGGTGACAGAGAAGATTGCTACATTTAAAGCTCTTTTCTCTTCCCGAGAGAAGTATCCCATCCTAAGCATTCCAACGTCGGACCAACTGTCACGGCTATTTTTTCTATTGGTTAAATAGACATCGCTTATACTTTTACCCTTGAACTTTTTCTTTTCAGATTTCAGCAAGGTGAACAACAATTAGTCATTATTCTGATACATACATACATATGGCAGTTACTACATCCTCACTCATTTCTGACTAAATAAGGTGTAGAGAGCTTGGCGTCCTCAAGGCCGTATGTGACCCTCCAGATCCCCAAGTGCAGTCCTTCAACTGAACCCAAACTTCACAGACTAATCCCTTTATTAAAAAGGATTTGTCCTACATAATTTGGGTTCAGTCAAAAGGCCACACTGAAGGGTCCAGAAGGCCTGAGGTCTCAGGTAAATATTACTTTGGTCCATTTTGTCCCTGACTTTCCTCCGTATACAATAGACTCCCCATAGTAAGTCTCCATTTCTAGTAATGCCAGTCACAGACATGGTCAAGTGTTTTCAGCAAATTTATTGATTTGTTTGGTATTCCAGGTGTATTTACACATTGTAGAATAAACTTTCCAGTCTACAATGTGTAAAGAAATACCTGGAATACCAAAGTAATCCTGAAAAGGGAAAAAGTTGGAGGTCTCTATCTGGTTTCAAAATTTACTAGAGAGCTGCAGAAATAAAGACTATGTGATATTCGTGTAAAGACAGACAAAAGTAGGTCAGTGGAACAGAATATAGAGTCCAGAAATAGAATACATGTGGTCAATGAATTTCTGAAACAGGCATCAAAGTAATCAATAGACAAAGTTTTTTCAATAACTGGTACTTGAATAACTGAATATACACATGGGATAAAATGAATCTAAACCTTTTCCTTGTACCACAGGCAAAAATTCATTTGAAATGGATATAAGACCATATGTAGAAGCTCAGTTAAGAAAGTAAAACACAAGCCACAAACTGGGATTAAATATTTTCAATACGAATATTTGACAAAGATTATCATCTGAAATACATAAAGAACTCCCAGAAATCAATAAGAAGAAAAAATAAACCTGATTAAAAGACTTCCGGCTTCTGCTCAGGATATAGAGAACTGGAAAGAACATTGTTCCCACTCTTACAATAACAACAACAAAAATTCAAGGTCAAGATTTTCTTGAAAGCTTTAGAGAAGAGAGATAACAGGAAGACAAATTAGTCTAAAATCTAAGGAGACACAGGTGCCCCTAGGAAAGATAGCACTTGTTGACTTGGAACAAACATAGCCAAACACCAGTGAGAATTTGTTTAGCAGTCTTTACAAATATATCCATTTACAAGAGACTTAGGAGCCTCTGGGAGTCACATATGGAATATGGGGGGAGTGCACCCCTCTTGCAGGCTTTTCTCTATGAACTCCACTGGGTATGCAGAAAAAATGTATGAAAGTCTTGAGAAACCATGCCTCATGGTGCAGACTTGGAGGAGGAAAAAGGTAGCCACAGTGAGGGGTACAAAACCAGCCAAGACATTCTCCCGTGTCTCCCCTATCATACAGAGGCCTTCATCTACAGGTGTGAGGAGCCAACAAGCATTGTCACCTTCAGGCACTTTCAGGCACTGGCACAAACTCACTGCATCTAGGGGATGGGAAAATGGAAAGAAAACCCTACCCGGGAGGGAGAGGCACAAATATATATTGAATATAGAATTGCAGTTGTTGGAAAGGCAAGACTTCTGAGAATGTCACATTCCTATGCCCCAGGCATAAGGTCCTGACCTCAGACTGAAGTTAAACAGAACAACAGAGACTGTCCCTTCTTCTCCCTTCCACCAAGCTGATGAGTATGGAGTAACAAGTAGCAGAGAGATACCGACAGGACAGTTGTGAGAGTGGAGAGGCTGACCCTCTCAGTGGCATAGGGCAAATGGAAGACCTGCCAGTAATGCTGTGTAGAGCAGAAAACAAGCCCCACCCTAATCTAAAGGTCCTGGCATAGAAATTTGAAGATTGTGGCCCCACTGAGGGTGAGCACAGCAAGAATAAACAGCAAATCCACCAAACTCCTCACTAGAACCACCCAAACCCTATACTACATGCCTTAGAGAAGAGGGCAGTGCCTGTAGCTCAAAGGAGTAGTGCGCCGGCCCCATATGCCAGAGGTGGTGGGTTCAAACCCAGCCGCAGCCAAAAACTGCAAAAGAAAAAAAAAGAGAGAGAGAGAGAAGAAAGACAGGGCTGCTTATAGGCATGAAATCCATGTACCTGTTTCCACTGTCCAACACAAGCTGCATGGCATTCAACACAAAAGCAATGGCAAGAAATAAAAACATATTGAAAAATAAGGCTTTAAACTGAACCAGACTCAGATATAATAGAGATGTTAGAATTATCTGACAGCAGTTTAAAATAACTGTGACATGTTGTTAAAAAAAAAAAAAAAACTCTAATGGAAAAGGAGAAAACATAGGAGACCAATGGAAAATGTCAGCAGTGATGAGAACGAAGAGAATCAGATGGCATTTCAAGAAACAAGAAAGAACCCATACAAACATAAATGAAACACACTCCTGAAAAGTGTAATTGACATAACTGCAAATATTGAAAGTATACAATTTGAAAAGTTTTAATATACAATATGGTATGCATACACACACACCCATGAAACCATCCCCATAATCAAGAGTGTGAACGCGTCCACCATCTCCGACCCTAGGGCCCTTTTGTAATCTCTCCCTCCTGCTCCTCCTCACCACTCCCCAACCTAGGCAGCAATTGCTCTGTCTACTGATACTGTAAATAAGTTTGCATTTGCTAGCATTTAATATAAATAGAATTACAACATCATGCTTTTTTTAAAAATGTGGCTTAATTTTTTTAAGCAAACTAACTTATAGATGTGACTTAAAATTATATACTATTGCAAAGCTTACTAGTCTGCCTTGTTTTTTTCTATTTTCAATTTCTACTTTTCAGTGGGTCCTGGGGCCTGACTTTTCTGAATTGCTATCTAATTTCCCAGATTTCCAAATCGTTGCAGAGCACTGTTCTTTGGCTATATGATCTAGCCTTCCCCGCATTGTTTACCTTCCCTGACGTTTACCGGCTTTGAATGTAATGTTCTTAGCATTCATCTCAAGAAATCAGGGGAAAAAGAAAAATATATATAGAAAATGGAGGCATAAACTAAAAAGGTAAGAGGGGAAATTAAGGAAATAGAAAACAGATGCACCATAGAGATACTAAGAAAGCCCAAAATCTGTTCTTTAAAAGGACCAACAAATTGATAAACTCCCAGATCAGTAGAAAGAGAAGAGAATTAACTAATACCAGGATTCAAGCAGAAGCAATGATCACAAATTTAATAAATTTCAAAAGTCCTAAGAGGATATTATAAAAATGTGAATACAATGATTAATTCTTGGTAAAAAAAAAAAAAAACCCTTATCAAAACTGATTTTTAAAAAACCCCAGAAAACCTAGATGCTTATATTTGAATCTTGAGTTGAAAATCTTCAAGTATACACACAACACACATACACGTACAAGCACACACACACATACAAGCACACACATGCATACACATGCACACACACACACACCAGACCCAGGTGGCTTCCCCTGTAAATTCTACATTTTAAGATAGAAAGAACACCAATCATATATTGACTTTTCCAGGAAATTAAAAAGTAACTTGTCTGGAGAAGAAAATTAACATTAACTTATCTTTAAAATCAGGATAACCTGGTTTACAATAAGTATAGTGGAAGGAAGGAAATTTTCAGGCCAATAGTACTCATAACTAAATTTTTAAAAATTTAGCAAAATATAAAAATTATGCTATATCATGACCCAGCTGGGTTTATCCCAAGTATCCAAGGTTGATTTAACAACCTTCAAAACCTTTCGAAACTAATCATACATTCCACCTACATTAGCAGAAAGGGGAAGAAAAATCATACAGTAATCTCAATAGAGGCAGAGAAAAATCGATGAAAGTCAAGTCTGTTATGATTAAAAACAGAAAAGCCTTAAAAACCTAGCAATGGAGTAGGCAAAAAAATTCATACTTGATGGTGAGATGCTGAAAATTTCCCCCTGAAATCAGA